TATTTTTTTCTGACAACAACTGAAATCTCCGGTGGCTAAGGCGAAATTGGACAGGCCGGTTCTGTGCTAATAAACATTGGATGAGTATTGACTAGTTCCGCCTGAGAGCGGTGCTCTGGGTTCGTCCAGTCTCTCTAAGCAGAGCCAGAAACCAGGAGCCATCAGGGAGAAGTCTGCTAGAAGCCGGCGTGCCCAGGCGGGTTTCAGTGGGGAGAGAGACCCCGCAGGCAGCACACACGCGGGGTCAGCCTGAGGCAGGTGTTTGCCACACACATAATAAAGCATCATTTTCTGGTTCTGTCAAAAGCTCCTGTAACTCTGTGTGAAAAGTAAAAATCCAGTAGAAAACGAGCAATGCTAAATGGGCCACTCACAGAAAAAGGAGGGGAAAAAGTGGGTAGGAAACATGAAAAAGTGCTTAGTCTCACATAGAAATGCAAACTAGAAGGGGACCATTTTCCGTGAAGCAACAGACAAAGATGAAACAGTTTGGTAATATGTGTAGTATTGGCAAAAGTGAGAGAAAACAGGGACTTTCACACTCAATTTGTGGAAGTTGAAACTGGTTGTCTTCTTTTAAGTGCAGTTTGGCAAATTTGTCAGTAAAAAAACAGTCGTGACAAAGCAATTTTATTTCTAAAAATTTAATTTATAAATATACTTGTAAAGTGTGTAAAGATGATTGTAAGGGACGTGTTCTGCTGTGCTGTTGATCAATAAGAAAAACTTGGAAATAATATCAACGTCCTAGAGTAAGGATTAAATTATGGATGATGTATTCATACAATGGAATATTATGTAACCGTGAAAAAGAGTGTATCGCTATAGAAAGATCTTCAGCCCTGATTAGTGTGGCTCAGTGGGTTGGGTGTCATCCCGCAAACCAAAAAGTCATCAGTTCAATTCCTGGTCAGGGCACATGCCTGGGTTGTGGGGTCAATATTTGGTCAGGGTGTGTACGGGAGGCAGCCAATCGATGTTTCTCTTTCACATCGATGTTTCTCTTTCTTTCCTCTCTCTCTAAAATCAATAAACATACAGAAATGGGAAGAAAGAACATCAGAATAATCCGATAAAAAGATCTTGGTGGAAGCCGTAAACATTGCACTTGAGGTTGCCATCACAGTGGGGAGGGCGAGGGGAAACCTGAGAATTCTTTGAGAACTGTTTTTTAAAAAGAAGGGAGAGACAACAGTGGCCACAGCAGGGGAGCAGACCTGGGTGGACGGCCAGTGATGGAAGCTGACGGGATGCTGAGCCGGCGCTATTTCGCTTAATGAAGACTAATAATGGACTAATAAAGGAGAGAGAGCCGCAGCACTTTACCTTACACAGAAGGGAGATAAAAGTAATTTTCCTTTTATTCACTTTATTAACCCAATAATTGTAGGTGTAAGGTTTTTTTTCTTTTAAATACTACAATATAACCATTCTAATTTTAAAATAAGAATCTTATTAGAATTAGGAACAGGGTATAGTTTTTGCTCCATAAAGCTGATTGCTACGTGACTTGGTACATAAATAATCATAGTGTTGATCTTCATTATGGATGGTCAATTATTTTTTCATAGAAAACAAACTCACAATTACTGTTATAGCCGATAGGTTTGGTATCAACTCCCTCATATTTTATAATTATGTATTGTGTTCTTTGTATTGTATCACCACAAGTTTGATTTTTTAATCCTCACTTGAGGACATATTCATTGATTTTAGAGAGAGTGAGAGAGAGAAACATTGATCAGTGTCTCCTATACCAACCCCAGCTGGGGATTGAACCCGTAACCTAGGTATGTGACCTGACCGGGAATCGAACCTGCAGCCTTTTGGTCTATGGGATGATGCTCCAGTCAATGGAGCCACCCTGCCAGGGCCCAGTTTATTCTTTTTTTAGAAACCACTTTAGTGAGATAGAATTCACAGACCATACAGCTCATTCATTTGACAGGTCAGTGGGTTTTAGTACATTCACATACTGGAATGAGCACTGCAATTGTGAGGTGGTTTTTTTTTCCACCATAAAAGAAACTCTGGACTTAATACCTCTCCCCCCAGACTCCCCCTCCCCAATCCAGGCACTAATCTACTTTCTGTCTCCGTGAACTTGCTCACTCTGGACATTTCACATCAGTGGGATCACATAACATGTGACCTCTTGTCTCTGGCTTCATTTGTGTAGTATGATTTTGAGGTTCATCCAAATTGTAGCCCTTTATCATTCCTTCATTCCTTTTTAAATGGCTAAGTTATGTTCTAGGGGTACGGATTCTCCCTGTATTCTTACGTTGAACCTAAAAACTGCCATTTCCACTTTGCAGATGAGGAATCTGAGGTGAGAGGGCCTCACAGTAAGTGGTAGAGTTCAGATGTGCCCCGGAGTCTGTGCAGCCCGAGCCCCAGTCCTGACGCCGTAGGGCTCTCGCGTCCTCACTGCACGATTAGGGCAGCTCTTCACCCCTGCACGTTCACCTCCGCCGTTGTAAAACACTGTAATCGGGCTGACATTTACTGAGCAGTCTCTTTGAAGTTCATTCGATTGTCAGGACGAGGAGGACTCTACCTTTCATTGTTGACTTACGTTCCTGGAAGCATTGAATTAGCCGGTCAAGGCCCAGGATAACCGGACTGCAGAAACTGTGCCTGTTACTGTACATCTTGATGACTTTTGGAACCTCTGAAGGAGTTCTTGCTGGAAACTAGAGAGGAATTTTTTTGTCTTCCGAACTGTTGGAGAGGCAGTTGGGGCCTTGATGCGTCATCGCTGCAACCGTGTGTGTGTCCTAACAACAGGGACACTCGCACGCGTGGTCCCAGGAGACTCATCAAAACCGGGACATCTAAATGGTCACAGTGCTCTCACCGGATTCCTAGCCCCCTTCCAAACTGTTTCTGTAGTGTCCTTTAGAGCAGAAGACAAAACAAGCAACAGCAAAACCCTCTCCTCCCTCTGTCTCCCTTCCCTCTGCTCCGCGATGCGGTCCAGAAGGAGCCACACCTCGTGTTTCAATGCTTGTGTGTCGTTACTGGCCTGGAATCTGGGCGGTTGTTTGACATCCCCCACCCCCACCCTTCTTCCACGGTTTTCACATTTTCAAAGAGCAGTGCCAGTGAGTAGAATGTCCCTCACTCAGGGTTTGTCTGATGTTCCTCACAGTTAGATCAGGTCACGTGTTTTGGGCAGGAATATGACAGAAATGACACTGTGTTCTCAGTGCGTGGTGTCGGGAAGCACTTGGTGTCATGACTGGCGATGGCAATTTTACCAGTTGATGAACACAGCATATATCAAATTCTCTATTATGAAGTTCATTAGTGCGTTTTACTTAGGAAGGAAGGGAGAGAAACATCAATTGGTTGCCCCTTGTACACTCCCGACTGGGGACCTGGCCCTCAACCTAGGCATGTGCCCTGACTGGGAATTGAACTGGCGACCCTTTGGATCACAGGCCAACGCTCAACCCAGTGAACTACACCTGCCAACCAGGGCCCTTTTACTTCTTAATTACCATGTAATCGATAAGCACTTTGCGGAGATTGCAGGTCATATTCCACAGTAACACCCACACTCTTGTGTACCCATCACCTCCACCTGTCTCCTTAACTTTCTCATCTTCCCAAACTGAAGCTCTGTCTCCATTAAACACTAACGCCCCTGTTCCCCTTGCCCCACCCCCTGGCAGCCGCCATGCCATCTTCTGTCTCAGTGCATTGACTACTCTGAGTACCTCGTATGAAGTAGAATCGTAGGGTGCTTGTCCTTTTGTGACTGGTGTATTTTACTTTGCATAATGCCTTCAGGTTCATCCATGTTACAGCACGTGACAGAATTTCCCTCCTTCTGGAGGCTGAATAAGATCCCATTGATGTAGAGTCACATTCTGTCCACTTGCTCACCTGTCAGTGGACGCTTAGGTTGCTTCTGCCTTTTAGCTGTCATGAATAACGCTGTAAATATGGGTGTGCAAATATATATTTAAGTCCCTGCTTTCAATTCTTGGGGGTACGTACCCAGAAGGGGAATCTCTGGGTCATGTGGTCATTCCATGATAAATTTTTGGATGAAACTTAATGAGTTTTTAAAAATTAATACCTGTGTGGACTCTTGGTTTCCTATTTTATTCAATGAGTCATAATCTACTAATGTCATGAATTATTTTGAGGCACAAACGGTCTCTGACTTGGTCGGTGGGAGAGCTTTCAAGCCTGCTCCTGCATCATTTTGACGCGTCCTCATCGGAGCCTCTTCTTACTGTGGCACGTAAGGCGTTGCAGGCTCACCTTACTTTTACTGCCCCAGCCCTGGAATCCCATTTCTCCAAGGAGCCCAGTTCCTCCTGTTGGAGAACGGTGTTTAGAAACCAGGACACGGGTGCTGGGTGTGCTGATTGCCACTGGGGTGTCACTGCTTTCAGGCTCTTTCAGAAGCGAGGGCTACCACAATATGCACATGTGTTGTGTGTATACACACACACAGACGTACCTCTGTATTTCTATATCTATATGTCTGTCTCCATATATATTACATTCTAGACTTTGCATTGATACTTCAGTTCCAGTCTAACAGCACAGGATTTATGCGGGCTTTCTCCCTTTGCATATTTGTCTCTCTCTTTCCAACAGTGAGAAACCTGGCTCCTGTGATCTTCACTGTGTGTACTTATTTATTAAGTAGTTTACTTACTTACTTACTTACTCATTTACTCCCACTCCGTGTGTTCAGTCTCCTGACCGCATGCACTATCATTTTGGGCTGGTCAACCAAGTGACTGGCTTCATACCCAGGCACCCAGCCCTGCCTACTGTGCTAGCAGGACCCCTGGCCCCCACCAGGGGGAGGAGTGACTGAGGAGAAGAGGGGGAAGGGCCAGGGAAGGTCTGATTTGCATTGTTATTAGCCACCCTACCCAGGCCGTTAGGTTCAGCAGTGACAGTGTGGCATGCGGTGTTGACAGAACCCTTTATCGTTCACTCCCCCTTTCTCTCTTTCTCTCCCTTTCAAGATGGTTTCATCCAAATATCACTGGCGTGGAGGCCGAAAACCTACTGTTGACAAGAGGAGTTGATGGCAGTTTTCTGGCAAGGCCCAGTAAAAGTAACCCTGGAGACTTCACGCTTTCCGTCAGGTGAGTGGCAAGAAAAAGACTCCCCAGAGTGTTTTCCAGGTAGGAAATGCGAAAACCACACTTGAAGCCTGTATGATTGTGTTAACCAGTGTCATCCCAATAAACTCGGTAAATGACAAAAACTGAAACAAACCACACCCAGACCCCTTGCTGCTCTTGCCGACGGTTGGGAGGCCTGCCTGCTGCCCTGTGATGAGCCCTGGCCCACGGGCCAGACCTGGGTCAGGCATGCGTGGGGCTCAGATGCAGCCTCCCGGGAGTGAGAAGCTGGGGAATTCAGCAGGAGGGGGTTGGAGGTGGGCATTTCTTGTCCCCCGAGACCGACCACGGAGGATGAGTTGGAGCCAACAATAACCAGCCCCTAAGCCACCCCCTGCCTGAGTTCACTCATCCTGAGCCTGGCTTCTTACATTGCACCTCCTTCCATTCATCTCTTAGTGGGAGAAATGCTAAAGAGTTTCTTCACATCATTTGTGGGGTTTTTTTTTTGAGAAATAAAACGTCACGGAGGAAGTTGTGGTCCCGTGTCTTCCCCTGCCCAGTCCCAGGCCCCCCCCCCCCCCGCCCCAGAGGAAACCTCGCTCAGAGGTTGGCTTGTGCCCTTCCCGACCATGCTTTTGTATTTGAACTGCGTCTGTGCTGTGTGTGAACAGTACCACGCCACTGTGTGTGTGCTTAGAATCTGCATCCATGGCTTCTTCATAATGTGTGCATTATTCTACAACTTCCTTGCAAAAGCTTTGAAGTTCTGGGCTGGTATCTGCAGGTGTAACTATTCATTGTAATGGCTCTATAATCTTTGAATGGTATGAACACATCACAGTTGATCCAGTCTCTTATTGCTGGGCATTGGGTTGTTTTTAGTTTGTTTAACATTTTAAAAAATATTTTATCTACTTACTTTTAGATAGAGGGGAAACGAGGGGGAGAGGGAGAGAAATATCAGTGTATGGTTGCCTCTCATGCATCCCCTGCCGGGAACTGGCCTGCAACCCAGGCATGTGCCCTGACTGGGAATCGAACCGAGATCCTTTGGTTCGCAGGCCTGTGCTCAATCCATTGAGCCACACCAGCCCGGGCTGTTTAAAAATTTTTTGAATGGCACCGCCAGCATCTTGTTACGTGTCTCTTTGAGTAGGTGTAGGAGAATTTTCCTAGAAATTGACTTTCTCTTAAATACTATTCTCCCTACTTAAGCTCATTCCAGGAGTTAAAACTGAAACGCTTCATGAATTTGCTTTTATTATTATTCTAAAATAAAGATGTGCTCTTGAGAATTCATTTAGGATTCCTTTGGGACTTGGGGAATCCCTTTTTGGCGTAGATTAGTTTCTTAAGGAACCTTGGGCATTGGCTTTTACTTCCCTATTAAGATACGATATGGAGTGAGTGGAAGCCTTCATAAGTCTTCTGGGCTTGTCCCAGCACAGACATCTGACCCAAAGTGACATTTGCTCTGTAAGAGTTTGGACAGAGATTATGTAGTGGTGATGAGGATGACGATGATGACGATGGTGACATCAAACATCACTGAGGACTTGACGTCTTCCAGGCTGTTGCGCTAAGCACACTCCACTCATCATTTTATGTAATTTCCCCAGCAACCTATGAGTAAGTACCACTGTTACCTTTGTCTTGCAGGTGAGTAAGCTGAGGCCCAGAGGTGAAGCTGGTGAGCTAGTCTCCCAGCTAGGAAGCGGCAGACCCTAGACTACGGAATTACTGGGGGCTTTCCCCCCCCACTTTCTATTGTGAGAAATTTCAGACCTGTAGAAAAGTTCATAGGTGAACAGCAAACAACCACCTGCCCTCGACCTGTTAACATTTGCTCTTTCTCTAGAGTGTGTGTTTGTGTGCATTACATACATTTCCCCCACCCCCGAAACTTTTTGAAAGTAAGTTTGTGCATATTAGGCCATTGATTTTTACCTCTAAATACTTGAGCGTGCATTTCCGAGGAATGCATTATTGTATATGAGAAATTTAAATGTTGATTCAGTGATATTATCTTGTATACAATCCATACTTAAATTTCCCTTATTATTTTAATAAAGGTTCCGAAGCCATCCCACCACTTCCCATCAGGAAGCACATAATATGTTTGCTCTGTCTGTTGGTGTTTATTCCCCCCAACGGGGGCGGGGGTCATTATCTCTGGGCCCTTAGAGTAGACAGAGCTGGGAAATAAATATTTACATGTTTAAAACCAAGTGTTCATACTGGTAGTTCCAGTTCGGCCCAGCTCCCTCCCCTTTTCCCATTCCATATCTGTGCTTCTCTTCCGGAGGGAGGACCCAGGTCCACCACAGCATCGGTGCCTGACCTCGTTTGCCCACCCTGCGGTACAGAAACAGATTCAGAATGGCCGTGCCACTGCCACTGCTAATTTCAAACCCATTAAGTGAAGTTCGTGACTCCTTGGGAGTCTTTTGGCCTTAGAACATGTCCCATGGAGGGTGGACAATCAGCACTGTGTTCTGAGGTACAGGAGTTCATTTTCTGTGTAGTCACAAACTTCCAAGTAGCGCTTCCCAAGCCGCCCTCCACTGGCAGTGCGTGGAAGTGCCTGTTTTCCTACCGCATCACCAGATGTCTGTGCTCCAGTTTCTCTTTTTCGCCAGCACTACGGGTGCGGAACGCTGTCTCGGAATTTCAGTTTTCATTTCTCTTACGATTGAAGCTGAACGTCTTTTCATAAGTTTAAAGGCCACTTGAGTATCTTTTTTGTGAACTGCCTTGGAGCCGGTCCTTTGAACAACCCTGCAGCACTACGAGATCTCACTTTTATGTTTCTTTAGACTTTGGTGTGTGTTACAGAGACCATAGCACACGTGCGTGTGTGCCGCAGCGTCTGTGTGCACGCTCGCACGTCCACGTCCATCACTCCATTTTTCTACAGGCAGCCTAACCTTTCTGTTATGCACCCCTGCTGAAAAATCGGGGCTGATGCTGCCTTGTGTTCGGTTAGTCACAAAAGACCCTCTTTTTTTAATTTTGAGGGGGGGGAAAACAACAGAAATGTAAAAAAAGTATGTACAATCACCCATGTCGCAATTATTACGTCATTTTTTCCTTCAAAATATGAAGTAAAGCCAAATTTCCTTCACTCGCCACCCTTCATCCTGTCGTTCCCACAGGCAGCTCATGCCATGAGTTTCAGTCTAGTTTGTAGGAAAGTACATTTGTAATATAACACGTAAATAGTATTTGTGGTAGAACTGTAAAGTCCGTGTGTGTCTGTATCATGAGCAGTAGTTAGTACGCAGTGTGTGTTCATAAATCTGCGTGGTGGAGCGTGCGTGGCATGTCATCTGCACTGTGCTGCTTTGAGGCGGCATCGTGCCTCTGAGACCCCCTCGTGTGGCTGTACGTGGGGCCGGTCCTTGCGGGAATGTCTTGGGTTATGGCGTCAGCTAAAGGCTGGGGATGGAAAGCTCCGGTGTTAAAGTGAAGTCAGGTGTCGCTGGAGGAGGGTGACCGGAAATGCCTTTTTCACCCATTAGAAAAAGTAGTCACCAAAAAGTAGAAGTAGATATTTTTAGTAAGATGGTGGGACAAATTTTCTTATTTTTCTTGGTTCCCATTTTCCTTCTATGGGGGAATTGTGTTTTTTTATTTTCCAGAGAGCTTCATCAATAACGCTACCGGGTCAGACTAAAAATAAATGGGAGTCCGCCTAGGCGATGATGGGTGTGCTCGAGATGTACAGAAAACTGCTTTGCAGTTCAGAAAACCATAGCTGCCTCTGCAAACTAAAATGCCGAGTGAGAGCAGCTTCTGGCCGGTGTGATGTCAGCTCATTGAGATAATGTATCAGCCACCTCATGCTTCGGGAACTGTCCATCTTATGTGTCTTTACAATGATTTTTAAGATACAATTACAGAGACTGTCTTAAGCATAGAGGGAGATGAATGTTGACAAACGTGTTTATTCATGTAACCGGCACCCCCTTCAAAATAGAGCGGTTTTCTATCACCCTGGAAAAAGTCCCTTTGCGCCCCCTTCCTCATCTCCCTCTCACAGAGGTTCCCACTCTTCTCATTTCTATCCCCACAGGCTAGTTTTGCTTATTTTATAATTTCATATAAGTGAAGTCATACAGTATGTATTCTTCTGCGTCTGGCTTCTTTCTCTTGTAATATTGGTGTTGTCTGTGTTGTTGCATGTATATTGTTTTTTGTGCTTATTGCTTTGCAGCATTCTAGGCTATGAGTAACTACTTATTTATCCATTCTGGCGATAAATATTTGAGTTGTCAGTTTGTTTCTATCATAAATAATTCTGCAATGAATCTTCTCAGACAAGCCATTGGGTATCCATACAGTTTCATTTCTTTTGGGCAAGATACTCAGGAGTGGATTTCCTGGATTACATGGAAGATGTATGTGTTCATTTTAATTATGTGTGTCTTGATTAATGCTGAGGAAAATGGTTCCCACTTAAAATACACAATTGGATCGTTCAGTTCAGACTTTTAAAGTGGAAGTTATACAGGGGAAAGGAACTGATAAGCGGGGCCCTGTGTGTTGGAATGTTGGACTGGGTGGATTACCTCACTCACTACTATTCTGACAGGGAGGCATCAACTCTTGCAGGCCTTGGGGTGGAATCTGATAAGGAACACGAAGTCCATTTTTACTGGTGTAACGCTGTATCTGTCCCCTCCCCTTTCTGATGGACTATTTTAGAAGGAATGGGGCCGTCACCCACATCAAGATCCAGAACACTGGGGACTACTACGACCTGTACGGAGGAGAGAAGTTCGCCACCCTCGCTGAACTGGTCCAGTACTACATGGAGCACCACGGGCAGCTCAAGGAGAAGAACGGAGATGTTATTGAGCTCAAATATCCTCTGAACTGTGCAGATCCTACCTCTGAAAGGTCAGTGACATTTTAGTAACAGCAGAGTCTCCTGGGCCACAGGAGCGACACGAACGTGTTTTGGGGGGTTGGCTCGTACGTGTTTCTTAAGCCGCAATCTGTTTTCCAGAAGTGAAAAAAATCCTTTTAAGTGCAGTTGATATTCAATATTATATGAGTTTCAGGTGCGCAGCGTAGTGGCTAGACATTTATGTAACTCACGGAGCGATCCCCTTGGTAAGTCTTCATCCACCTGGCTCCGTATATTGTTATTACAATGTTATCGACTGTATCCCCTAAACTGCACTTTACGTCCCTGGGACTGTTTTGTAGCGGCCATTTTGTACGTCTGAATCCCTTGGCCTTTTCCACCCCAAGCTGCAATCTTCGAAGTTTTATTAAAGTGAAAATAATAGGATCAGATTATCCTCAGAGTGCCCTCTTCTTGCAAAAGCTTCAGCCAATGTTACTTTCACTCATTCTAGGAGTCTCAGACTATTCCTGCATATTCTTAGTACGTGCGGTCATTTTAAGATTGGCGCACTTCGGCTAATGATCTTAGCCGCGTGAGGAAGACAATGAAATGGCGCCACCGACGTCGCAGCAGTCACTGGTCATGGCTCCCAACCCAGTTATTCAGCAGTGCCACCAACAGATGTCAGTTTAAGCTCAGAAGTGGAGAAGCTGAGGGTCCCATTTTTCAGCAGCTCTTCTCTGTTACACCCAGAAGAGTGTGAGAATGACCTTCCTTAGCAGGAGCCGCCTTTTTGCTCCCCCTCCCCCACCCCACCGCCATGTTGGAGCCAAGCCGATTCTCTGCCGTTTATTTCTGAATTATACTGTTTAGTTGGGGGTGGATGAAAAACAACCCAAAAAGTATATTCTTTTAGTGATGAGCCATTAGCACCATCTGCCATGATAATTCTTGTTTTCTCACCACGATCGTGAGGGAAAAAGCTACTTTATTAACACGACTATGTTAAGATTTTCCTAAAGTATCGCAGAGTCTTTGTCCTCAGGCGACCTTTGTCGGGACTTTGGCATGCTGGTCACAAATGCAGATTGCTGGGCCCCGTTCAGTAGTGTATTGGTGTGTCTGCTTGTGAGCAATGGGAATTCACATTTTTAGCAAAATCCGTCACCTCTGCCCCGAGTCTTACCTGCATTACAGTTTGAAATGATAATCCAGCATACAGGCCAAAGATGTTGATAGCAGACTTGGAGGCTGTTGGAAATATGGAAAAATTTGAAACATTTGAAGTAATTTATGGTGAAGACCTTTTTCTGCATGCTGTTCGCGTGCCAGAGCAAACTTCCAAATCATTCTCTGTCTTTACCATAACTTTCTATTGTTATTTCTTTAAATGGCTGTGATTAATAGTTGGTCCTTTCAATGTTGGGCATGGAGAGCTAACAAATTATATTTTCAGAAGGTGAGAGGCGTAAAAGGAAATAGGAAAGATGGAGGACATTTGCCTCCAAACGACCAGGCGATCATTCAGGAAGTTTAATGGTCATTCTTGACATCTTTGTCATTCTCCCTGCCTGCCCGGGCTGCAAGTTCTGGCTGACCACGCTCTCCCCTGATCTCTCGAGGAATGTATTTTTTTTAATTGTTTTTAGGAGAGCTGATGGGACAGGATAGTTTTGCAATGAGCGTTGTGATTCCCACGACAGAACCCAGTTTATTTTCTTTTTTAAAAATGCAGATGGTTCCATGGACACCTGTCTGGGAAGGAAGCGGAGAAGCTGCTGACGGAGAAGGGAAAGCATGGCAGCTTTCTGGTCCGGGAGAGCCAGAGCCACCCCGGGGACTTCGTTCTCTCCGTCCGGACTGGGGACGACAAGGGGGAGAGCAGTGACGGCAAGTCCAAGGTGACCCACGTCATGATCCGCTGTCAGGTAAGGTCGCGCTTGAACTTGGCTCTGGCAAAAGATCCAGGTGCTGTTTCTTTCTTTCTGTCTTTCTCTCTCTCATCAATAAAGAAAAATGCTGCAGTTTGCTGTCCTTACCAAAATTCAGTCATTGTTCTTGAATAAATGCTCCTTGGATGGTTTCAAGTTCTTGTTTCATTTTCAGAGTTCTGAACGGTTGATGGCAATTTCTGCCCTTGTCCTCGCTGCTCTTACAGAAGAGTGGGTTTTCAGAGGTCTCTACTTTGTCATTCCGAAAGTTTTATTTTTATTTTTAAAACAGATTTTTTTTTTTTTTTTAGACACGGGAAGGGAGGGAGAAAGAGAGAGGAACATCAATGTGTGGTTGCCTCATACGCCCCCTGCTGGGGACCTGGCCTGCAATTCAGGCCAAGGGATCCTTTGCTTTGCAGTCTGGTGCTCAATCCACTGAGCTGTACCAGCCAGGGCCAACAGTTTTATTTTTAAACAAAAGATTGTGTCCAAAGATCTCCATATATATTATTTCTAGGGTTTTGTATTTTCCGAGTTTAACTGTTCTCCTGTTGTTTCCCTGACATAGCCTATTCCGATCTTGTTAGAAGAATCTCCTGGTCTCTCTTTATTACTTTCATCAGGAGATGAAAGGAAAGCCATGTACAGGGGGCCTCAGCGGCCTTGGAGTTGGTTGTGTTTCAGCAAGAAACAGTTACTTGCCTTCCGTTCATTAGCCTCATGTATTGTTGCTTAGCCTACAGTGTGAGTAGGGAGTAAAGAACTCTGGTTTTCATTTCTTTAAACTATTTAGTTACCTAATGAAGGAGAGACGTTCTCGTGTCCTGGTGGGTGTTGGATATTTATTCATTGCTCTTCACACCTCGAGATGATCTCGCAGGCCGGCCACTGCATTTTCATCATCCTCGTCGAGTCCTGTCCTTGGCGCTGCCGCAGCTGCCCCATCCTTCCGTTACCGGGGGTGGGAGGCCAGCCATTGTCTCTACGCTTCTGTTGGGAAAACAGTAACTTCACATCGAGGTTACATCTTAACGGTAACAAGCGTAGTTTCTCTCGTTGAAAGGAACTGAAGTACGACGTCGGCGGGGGAGAGCGGTTCGACTCGCTGACGGACCTCGTGGAGCATTACAAGAAGAACCCCATGGTGGAGACGCTGGGCACGGTTCTGCAGCTCAAGCAGGTGAGCACGTCCGAAATCTAAAGCCCGGCTCCTTTTAAAGTTGGAAAAACCTAATACGGGACATTCCAGGTGCACAGGAGCAGAACAGTATCACAAACCTCACGTGCCCACCGCCCAGCTTCGGCGTTTATTAAACATTTTTTAAAAAAGATTTTACTTATTTATTTTTAGAGAGAGGGGAGGAGAGGGAGAAAGAGAGAGAGAGAGAAATACCAATGTGTGGTTGCCCCTCAAGTGCCCCCCGACCCTGAGGTTCTGGCCTACAACCCAGGCATGTGCCCTAACCAGGAATCGAACTGGCGACCCTTTGGTTCACAGGCTGGTACTCAATCCACTGAGCCACAGCAGCTAGGGCACCGGCTTCAGTTTTGATCACCGCATCAAACCTGACTTCAGTCGTTATTACTCCACTCGCTGCCCCCCTTCTGTGGCGTGTGGGAGTGGATTCCAGATATCATGTTGTTTCCATGACTTAAAGGCCTCCACCCATATGACTTAAAGGCCTTCCAAGTTTTTAAAGCAAGTTTGCATCAAGCGTTCACTGTTACACTTACTCATTTTGGACTTCTTGCTATTTCAGAGTTCACTCCTATCACTTAGTGGAAAATCACTTATCCCTCTAATATTGCAGTCTATAAAGAAAACAAGAAAAGAAAAGAGGATCGAGTTCATACCAGCAGAGTAAAGTGTGTGTGGGGATTGGAGAAAGATTTATTTTCTGACGGAACAGAAAAGAAAGTGAAACTGCAAAGGAAAACGTTTACTGGGAACCACTGTGTGCTGTGCACTTCCTGTCCTTGCCTCGTGCACACCAGACTAGGTGGTTTTGTTTTTTTCCTTGCTAACACTTTCTGTGTGATGCTTTCTTTATTTCACCCCAACGGCCGACCCTCATTAGCCCCTCAACACGACTCGCATCAACGCTGCTGAGATAGAGAGCCGGGTCCGAGAGCTGAGCAAATTAGCTGAGACCACAGACAAAGTCAAACAGGGCTTTTGGGAAGAATTCGAGGTAAGTTATTTAAAAAACACTATTTTCTAACATGAGGTATTAAGTCTTATTTTCAGTACCTGAGAAGTTCATCTTGTATTTGCTGTTGGATCTGAAAGACTTGAACCCGTGTCCTAATCAGCCGTTGATTAACACGGGACAAGTGGTCAAGGGGGCTTCTTTGAATTGGAAGGGCATCGTGCTGTGGGGGATGGAGTCAGTGGCTCCTGTGACATCGATGGGCCAATAGCTCCATCCGACTCTTAGTTTGCCAGCAGAAACCCAGACAGACAAAAGGATCTACTTCTTTTGAAAGGTTTCCAGCATTGGCTGGGGTCTTCGGGAAGAATCTGTAGCCTTATTGCAGTAGGTGAAAGGAATACCTGGCGTCGTTGGCTTCATTTGGGTGCTGACTTTGATAGCGTTGGCAAGTTAAGTGAACTCATTTCTGGCCCGAAACCACCTCGGGCCAGAGAACGCTCTGCAGGGGGGACGTGCCCGTCAGCTGTCACGTACCAGTTCCCGTTGTTACTTCGTCCTCCCTCCTTCCATCCGTTTGGCAGAAAACTCCCACAGAAACAGAGATGGTGCCGTGTTTACCTTTGCAGTTGTCCCTACCACGTGTCACAGCGCCTGGCACACAGCAGACGCCCCGTAAAGGGTCCCCCATTCCATACTTTTGTAGGACTTTAGAATTTACAAATATTTGTGGAATGAATGAATGAATGGCTGAAGAAAGCCATTTTAGCCGCAGTGTGTCACACCAACTTGCTGAGATATTATTTCTGTGTTGCAGACCAGGAGCCTGAGGCTTGGGGAGGTTAAGGTAACTGTCTTTCCACAAATATTGATCAAATCGTGGCAGTGAGGGTGGGTAGAGAACAGAACACTCATAGTCCTTACTCAGCATTGCTGAACAGAGACTTGCACTCAGGTTTCTTTTTTCTTTTTTTAAAAAGATTTTATTTAATTATTTTTAGAGAGGGGAAGGAAGGGAGGGAGAACCAGAGGGAGAGAAACATGAGTGTGTGGCTGCCCCTCGTGCGCCCTCTGCTGGGGACCCGGCCCATAACCCGGGTATGCGCCCTGACTGGGAATCTAACTGGCAACTGTTTGCTTCACAGTCCAGCGCTCAATCCACTGAGACACACCAGCCAGAGCTCGGGTTTATATTTTCATACAGGCGCTGGGTTAGTCACAGAGGACACTGTGGCAAACAAGGGGGACCGGGTATCTATCTTTGAGGGGCTTCCAGTTGAGAGAGGGAAGACTGTGACAGAAGGCATCACTGAAAAAGTGGTGATAAACGTAGAATTTTAAAATCTCCAGCTCACTGTGTTCTTCATTCTGTTCTGCCAGCCTCAATCGTAAAAGACAGCATTTCAACAGTCATTCTAATTACATTTACTTTATTTCATTTGATGTTTATAAAGCCTCATAAGGTAAGATGGATAAGTACAGAAATTTTAGGAACCTTGCATCAAAATCTGAATGAAAAAACTCATTTTTTAAAGAGTGTTTATCTTGTAAAGTTTCAAATGCATGCGAAAGGAGAGAGAACAGTGTAATCACAGCATTGTTACCTGTCACCGAGCACACCGGCCCACTCGCCCCCCCGCCCTGATTTATCGCAAATCCCAGAGGTCATTTCACCTTTAACTTTCATTTCAGATATTATAACCAGAATATCACCACGCTAAAACTGTTAACAGTTCCTTAATATTAACACCTGTCAGTCATCGTTTACATGCTCTTGATTCTCTCTCTCACACAGACACGCACATACACACACACTTGCAAATTGTTTGAGGTGGGAAGTGCCTTTTCCCCAACTCATTTATGAAAAAATTTTCCACTGTATGTAAAACAGATTTGTATAAAGAACCCCCTGATTCAGCTTCATCGGTTACCCAGACATCATCTTACTTTATTTAAAAATATATCAGTACTTATGGAATCCTTGAAAAATGAACCAAAATACTACTACCATTTCCGGAAAAAAAAGATTAAAAAGTCCTCAAATATCCAGTCATTGTTCAGATGATGGCACTTGTCTCATAACGTAAAAAACGCTGTTGTATCGATATTCAGATGAGCTATACACGTATCTCTCTCTTTAAACTCTCAAGTCTTTTAATACTTGACTCCTCTCCTCTCCATCTCTCTTTCTGCCTCTCCCCTCCCTCCCTGTCTTAGTCCACTCAGGCTGCTACAACCAAACACCGTGGCCTGGGTGGCTTACGAACAACCGAAACTCCTTCCTCACAGCCCTGGAGGCTGGAAGTCTGAGCCCCGAGCCAGCGGGGTTGGCTGAGGCTCTCTTCCAGGTTCCAGACTTCTGGTCGGGGTCCTCATGCTGTGGGAGGGGCTGGGGTTTACCCCCAGAGAGCTAATCACCTCCGGAGACCGCACCTCCTAATCCTATCACATTGAGGATTAGGATTTCAACTGCGATTTTGAAGGGACCCAAGTGTTCAGGCAGTACCCTCTCTTTTGTTTTTGTTGTTCGGTGGAGAAAGCAAGTTCTTTGTCCTGAGCTTTGCTTGTGGTCTGGATTTTGCTGAGTGGGTCTCTGTGGTGGACTTCAGCACATTTTTCTGCCTCCCGTTATACACTTTTTCCAACTCTGCTTCTTTCTTTGTCCTGGACGTCACTCCACAGTAGTATCTAGAAATGGTCTGCTTTCATTTTTATTGCGGAGCATTCCATTTTGTGGATGTAATATAAATTATTCAACCTGTCGATGGGCATTCGGAGAGTTTCCCAACATACTATGAAGAAGATGCAGCGAGCAGCTTATGTGTGCATATTTTCACCTTTTTGCTGGTGTTTTACATTGAAAAATGATGGTGGTTACTCATCTTTCATTTTTATTTTTATATCAATACATGATTTGGGTTTTTTTAAACCAGCATATTTAAAGTGTGTAAAATACAAGTTTTAATAAAAATTGAAAAGTCCCAAACCTTTTTGGTAAGTATAGGAGGTAGTGAGTTAAGAAAAAACAAGAATAAAGAAAGAAATAGTGAGCTATTTTGTCATCTAAACCCCTTTCAGTGTTATACTTCCACTGAGGTGATCATCTGTACAGACCACTTTTCCCATAAGGTGACTATGAACTTTCAAAAACCGACCACAGCGAGGTGAGTCTCTGGTACAGTGGTGGCTTCTTTAACACCAGCTTCACTTAAGTGGTCACACAAAGTCACACAAAACCTGCCCAAACTTGGGCAGTCGGGGTGTTTGGCCCGCTTCCTTGGTGGGGTCAGGATATGAACTTGGAAGGAACTCCTAACCTGACTTTTCTGCCCATGGAAGAGAAGGTTGATTCGAGATGCTGACCCGATGGTTTCCCTCTGTAACATCTCAAAGTCAGGTCCATTTTTATACATTATTAACAACAATGGGGACTGGGGGGGGGAACTGAGTAAAAACAAGATGATATCTTTTCGCTACAAGTTCTCCGCAGAGATCAGGCCGTGGCGGTAAATTGTTATGCACTTAATCAGGGCATTAACTTTTCATTTAAACTGAAGCTGGATCTAAATAGCTGATGGCTTACTTTCTCAATTTCTTAGGTTCCTGCTTCTCAAATCCAGTCAGTTAAAAAAAAAAATTGCCCTTTAAGGTTGGCGCCAGGGGACTAAATCGGAGAACAGAACAAACCATCACGGGAAAAAAATTAGATATGTGGAAGCCGAGACTCGTTATAACCAAAATCTTCTGAAACTGTTTGATCCGCAACAGCCAGGCTTGGTTACTTTAGTGATCGTCCTTAGTTGTTTCTGGGATGGTGATAATTTTGGGGTCAGGTCCTTCTTACCGAGTGTTCTGACGGTCTTCACAATGGACCAGCGCTCTAAACTGCGGCGCTGTTGGAAATTTCTCTCCAACGGCTCCGTGTTGTTAATCTGGACGCCCAACTTTCATCGTTGGTTGAGCTCCGCGTGTCCTTCACATCTGCTTCCCCAGGAGACGCCTATAAATTGCTTTTCCTTTAGATGCATCTTGAAATACAAAGTCTCTTGTGAAGCTCTGGTTCTTTTCTCCTTTACTCCTGGAATGAATTCAGCTTGATGCTTGTCTTCTAGGATGTGTTTTGTGAACCCAAGTCCTGGATTTTTCCCTAGAGATCGCCCGTGTCTGATCTGTAAGCATCTTGCGTCTCCCGCGTAGCTCCGCTCGTGAACAGAAAGAGGCAGGTGACATTTCTAGATTTGATGAAGGGATGTTCTGCTAAAGCGAGACTGACACCAAGTAGGCGACAAGGCACATTACAGTCCTGTAGTCCTGTGCCTGCCATGTGCAGGTTACCTGAAACCTGAATTTGGCCCTTGCACGCACGGCGCGGTGCATGTTACACGGTTGCGTGGCAGGTCTTTGCCCCTCTCTGGGCCTTTTCGTCCTCCCTTGGAGTCCTCCGGGCCGAGTCTGGACCCGAGCTGAGGGTGGAAATCTTGCCACCGACAGTCCGCTGGCCCCCTCTTCCTCTTTACCCTCCTCCTCCGTCTCGGCTCCCTCTCTGTTCCTGGCATCTCTGCTGTCCGCATACTTGATTCTTCCTCCTTTTCCTTCAGCAGATTTCTCTGTTTCTTGCCTTACAGACCTTACTTTCTAGTCCCTTTCAGTACAGTAACTAGTGCCCTTCAGTCTTTGTACCAAAGTCTCAGAGATTCTCATCGGCTCAGGTGCCGTCCATCTTCGGTCCAAGGCGCGATGCCCAGGACATGATCACACAGAACAGACATGTCAGCTCGGACCACCCCACTCGGGGGAAGGTCGTTCTCAGAGATGAGGATTGCAGGGAGTCGGGCAAACGTCCCAAAATTGTCTGCCGCCAACAGCAGACACTGGTGGTGGCAGTGATTCGTTCATTCCGTTCATTTAGCAAATTTTTGTTGAACAGAGACTGCGTGCTGGAGTCTCTGTTCTGGGTTCAGGGAACAAATCAGAGTCTGTCCTTCCGGAGCTTACAGTCACGTGGGAGGGGCAGGCGGTAAACAAAGAAACAGGTAAGTGTT